ATGAAATTTTCTTGCAGCAATTTCGGTAGTAACAACTCACTTTAAACTAAAGAATATTCGAAACTAGATTTCGAAATCGGACTCCTTATACGTACTCTTCATATTTCATTCCGTTTTGACAAAATTCAAAGTGACCGCCCCAATGTGTATGTAATTTCCAATTGTTTTCAATTTCTAATAAGTATTAAAAAACAACATTTTATTAGTTTCCGAAGAGGAACCCAAAATTTATCTAACACCCCTTTTTGCAGACCAACCGAAACCACGACGGTGCGTTTTTGCTTGATTCTTAAGACAAAGTTTCAGAACGACAATGGAAAACCGTTACACCGTTGTTCTATCCAACAAACGTGTGAATGAATTAGAAAAGTAATAAATTAGAAAAGTAATAAATGAACAATTAACAATGACGCTTTCCATGACGAAACAAAATGAAAAGAATTTGTATCCATAAGAGCTACATTCCTCCCATGTGCCGATTCTTTCCACCTAGCACTATGGACTTTCACCAATAATTCATGATTACGCACTCATCCGCATACTACACTACGACGGCACAACGCGTGACAATTCTATATAGAGGCGTTTTTCGGAAGAAAATAAGTCTGGAGAAGCTGAGAGAATTGACATTAAAGTTTGCATCTCATTTCATTTACGCTTTTTTTTCCATCATGGGCAATGATACGCATGTGCCATCATTGATAATTTCCGGATCTGGATCTTGATCAGAAATCCCATAGCTGCAGTTCGCATCCATTAGGCGGGTTAAGGTGCCTATCCATACTAACGCGCGTCAACACTTTCCAAGTGTTGCGCATCCGTCAAATCGCTCCCTGGGCGCTTTTGACGGCCGAACGCAACTTCGAACACGTGTTATGTTGATGAGATCGATTTTTTTATCTATGTAAGTGAAACGCATAACGCATCAAGTACGCAACGCACCCTAAAAACATAGTTACATGTAGAAAGGCACCTTTATGGTGTCGGTGAACCAACGTTGGATCACTGATCGCGCGATCTGGATCCACGTAAAAAAGGCCCTGAGTAGAAAGGTTCATACAAAGGGCCTATTTGTTTCACCCGGATCCTGATCTCGATCAGGAATCGGTCGTTGGCTCCCTGACATAACCCGCCTAATGGACAGAGCGAACCAGCGCATGGATCACTGCGGCCGTGTTTGTTTCATACGGATCTGGATCGCGATCAGTGATCCGTCGTTACTTTAATTTACAGACACCAAAACCCAGCTAATGGGTGGTGCGAACCAGCGTTAGGATGACTGATCGCGACAGTTAAACGAACGGGCCAAACAGGCCCTGCAATGAAATCCATGTCGACTGACCGTTCTTTTATATTCGCAACAACACCTGCTCAGTGCTCAGACAACACACAATTCGTCATACAATCATGTAATTATGATGCATACTGTAAAAAAAAAGGCTGCATTTTTCTATTAATTTACACTTTTTAACGACATTTGGAGACATGATATTTGTCTGCTGTTTAACCCAGATATGAATGGTTTGTTGTAGTTGGCTGTGCCTCGCCTTGCCCGTTACCTTAAATGTTCCGAAGCAATATTAATGTTTTGTCCACGGACAAGTATCCTAGAGTTCTCCACTCGAGTCATCTCATGATGCATGTTTCAAATATTTCAAAGATCTTTTTTATTATTCATTTATAAAACCTTTCACGGTTGACTAATTTCCAAAATTCAGTGATGGAAGTAATTAAACATTACACCGGCCTTACTATTGATGTTTCATCCCTTTTGTTGTCAATTCTATGTCACTTAATCTTTGTCCAGCTTGTTTGATTTCTTTTTTTTATCTAAGGATATAGCTTTCTGTTGATCTAAATTCGATAACAGTTTGGAGAATTTTTAAATCGAAACGGAATTGAAACTGAAAACCTCACGTGCTTGGTGTGAGGCGGGACAGGATTACGTATACCAAAGGCCCTCTAGGTATCTTTGTTCCGTATAGCCTACAGACACTATTCACGTGGAGGCTATTTTTCTCTTATTCCCCAAATCTGTTTTATATGTTGCAAGCTGTCGATTAGGATGGCACCAGACTGTTTCAATAATTTTCGGAATCTGGCAAAGTACAATTCTATATGTTCAATAATGAATTTGAAATTATTCATCAGAGTAGACAGGGGCAAATTGTCATGAAATTTCATTTTATTGCTTCATTTTTACTCTCAACACCGAAAAATGAAGAGTTAACCTCGCTCTCAAATTCACTATGGGTAGCCCCGTGAATAAAGTCTACCGGTATTCCACCCCAGGCACCAGAACCAATAATTTTCACAACGCTGCATCCGCAGCAAGCGCCTGAGCTTCGCTTTCGTGCTAATGCATAAATTTTTACCTTTACTAACTAATCTGAAGCTTTCCCAAATTATAAAATTCAAAGAGAGGTGCCAAAGCTTAAAACAAACGATCGTGATATTTTTGTGTATATCTGTAAATGCTATGGAGTCCCTGCCCTATAGGCACAGAGCCTCCTATATAAAATAATCTTGTGCCAGGGCGAGGGATGTTTACTCCATGGTTTACTGAATGGATCACGAATGTGGTCACATCAGCTCGTCCTTATCCACAGAATGGTGTGGAACGCATGGACATGATAGCGTGCCTGTGACACCCATAGACGCACGTACCCACAGCCATGCGCTCCCTGAGGTGTTGCGCTAAGACATATTGCTCACCAGCCTGCCAGCCGTATTGGAACATTTGTCAAGTGGTCATGCTTGCGGGTTCTGTCGCAACGACTTAGTGTCATTAATGAACAAGATGGGAATCGCTTTGCACTCGAGGTGCGTTTTCATTAAGTGTCTGGAATTGGGCGAGGATGTAACCAGTCTTCGAACAAGCTTCCCCTCCCAGTTTTAAGGGGAACAGAACATTTACCTCAGCAGTGGCATTTTGGAAAGGTCATTTTGATGGAGGTGAAAAGGGTAACCGTGCCGAAAAAGGTAAACACATACAGTGCTCACCCCGTGATCAGACTTCCTTGATTTCGAAAAATCAGTGTGCAAAAAGAGTATTTGTGATATAAGGGCAATGGCAAAAAAGGGGAGTTGTAAACTTACAAAATACAGCATGGTTCGAGGGGAAGTATACCGGAAGTGGGACCAGTACTGAGGGTCCCACAGTAGTGCGCTGCAAAAGTTTTCATCGCGGTGGCAATTGTACGCAGTGCGCAATGGAATGGGTTTACACCATTGATCTCCACCACAAAGACTTTACTATGGAGATCTGTACATGGTTGACACGTTCAGACGTGATGAGACTGCGCGTTTTGGCCAACCAACGTTCAACGTTAGGTTCTTCTTGTTGAATTGGTTTCCTCTTCGATGTACACGTATAATGTCGCGCTGCATTACCGCTTTCTGGTACCGCGCGCGTGTAAATTGTTGATACCTAGCGTGTAACTGTACATAGTGCTGGTTGTTTGTCGTGAGAACAGAGCCGCAAGTAAGTGGAACGAGTTGCACAGGAAAATGCAACAAAGTCAAACAAGCAAAACGTGGGCAAAACAACGGACAGACCAACTATTTATATTGTGCTTTTCTCCCAGTGAAACGTTTAAAAAACAATCTTGCACAGTCAAGACTGCGTGCCTCGCAATTTTGCTGCTCAATCAAACACAGACTAGTACCTTGAAGGGACGCCTTCAGGACTGCACCGCCACTGGAAAATTACAATTCGCTGTTCCGTGTATTTTCCCTGTTAAATGAACCGGCGAGGCCGTATCGGCGCGCAGTCAAAGTTAGGCCTATATACGTCTACGTCTGACGCTATCCATCCTCTAGCAATGAGTGTAGCTCTCAGTGTGTCGTCGTTTATGGTGAATATTTAAACACCGAACAGTGAACATTAATGAAAGAAGATAACGAATGCGCGTCCTTCAAATAAAAAAAATAATGTCATTGTATGAAATTATATTCGCCGACTTCGGGAAAAAATGAACGAGCAGCGAAAGATGCACATCAAGCACATGCACAACAGGCGACACAACGTTTTTTTTCTGCAGCACCACAACAGATATCATTTTTTAAACGTTATGTACATGTATTACGGTAAAAAAAGATAATAGTCCTGACTTGCTTCAAAAAGTTATGTTTGTAAGATTGTTCAAAGGGGAAAAAACAAACGCCAGAATGGAAGTAGCATACAGTAATTTATGTCTGTGAATTCGATCGACGCTTCTATACCACTGATTTATGGGACATTATTTCATACTTTTGCGAAAATTGCCTTTCTGTTTAAATCACCTTCTTCTGAAGAATTTTTCATAATTCCGAAATAGTTTGATCTGATGAGTTTCTGTAAAATACTTACATGGCAAAAGGTCATACGAGTTGAGACTACTGGCACAGAGCCATTCTGGGAAAAATATCCAAGAAAAAGAAGATAATTATTGCCTTATCAATGACAACTTGCCTGCCGGCAAGTCTGCACAAGCGATACGGCTATTTTGGTCATTCACTGGCTTTAAGCATATTTACTCACAACCGTTGCGAAGCAATTCTCGTGCAATGTGACTGGGTATACTTATCTTGTAGGCTATGATCACCAATTCAAGATTTAAGTGTTTTACCTACGCCTTCCTAAAGCTGACTTTCATCTCCAATTTTGTCTATTGCGAGGTCTCATAACAGGTTGTATTGTTATTGAAGCTGGGAAGTTAAACACTGGAAACGCTTAGCACTACGTGCGCTTTACATTTAGCTGGAACAGATATTTCAAAAATAATTCAAAGAACTCATCCCGACAATCCTGCATTCCATAGGAGTGCCACGTAAATATTTAGCGTGAAAACAGACGTACGCGCAGCTAATTTCCTACTGGGGGTCAAATTTCTTTCAGACAGTAGACTCTCCTTTCCTCACAAATCAGTCATGGCAGACATTTAATCAATGCCTTACGTAAATTTAAAACACATTAGCGTACATTCTTGGCTGAAGTCCAACCAACATAAAATACTTACCATTTGACATGGATTTTCCACATTTGCAGTCCACTAACCAGAGGGTATGACCAATAACATCAAGTCTTTCGTAGTAGGACTATTATCAGTTCGTAATGCATATATACATGTATCAACATCCACCAGCAAGCAAACCCACTGCGCAGGTGCTCTTGAAACACCGTGACAGTGCGAGTCCAAGCAAATCAGTGACTGAAGACGGGTCCTAAGTCTGTGGAGTCCTCTAGTCCTTCCCCGTAGATATTGTCGTGACTACCCTCTCTCCTTGATCAAATTCGCGACTGGTAAGGAACAGTCATCTCCTCCGGTCCAATCCTAAACTCCCAAGCTAAAGCAAATACTCCACCGAGCAGTTTGTCTGATAAGACCTACAACAGTCTCTCCGCGACTTAAAGAGCGCAAGTTCCCGCCTCTAAAGCTACCTGACGCTCTCTACGGCCGTTCCATGCTGTGTTACAGGGCGAAGGTTAACTCGTGCAGATGCGTATCAGGCCATGGTGCAGGCGCTGCGCAAACAATGTGCATGTCATCAAAGTACAAGCCGCGCGTATGACGCTTGAACCATTCTGTACCTCTTTTAATGATAAAATACAGTGATGTGGGCAGATAATTTCACTCATTACGTTCCTCGTACCTCGATCAAGGGTTCCAACTGGCCACATAGTGTCGGTGACCATACACAAGGACGTGTATTTTACTCGTCCCCGCTACCTTGACAGGGGATTGGAACGGGCTGATTTTTCCAGGATGCTTGACGTAATTTTTTTTGAGCCCTCATTGGTTAGATCTGCTTGAACAATAACACGGATCTACCGTTCTGTGTACGCGGTGCACGCATGTGTACTGAACACATAACGCATAATGCACCAAATTAGTGCTGACCGACAAGCAGCTCAGTACTTCGCGCATAGGTTGATATGTAGCTGCGACGTACATCCCCCTTTACAAATTTTACAAATCACTCCATCCCAGAGCCAAGGTGAGGCAGTGAAGATGCCAGGATATTGCTTCACAGTACGGCTGTAGCTTTCTGGAAAAGAAATCTGCCCTAAATTTGGCCTGAAATGGCACTTTGGTCGCATTAACACGGGGCAGCATTTTACGTTATAGCTCAGGCAAATGTGGAGCAAACCCAGCAAATTATACACCTCTATAACCAGTTATCAGACAGGAGCCCTACTCAAACGCTAAGGTTTGAGCAAAACCTAGACCCTTGTTTGCTCTAAACTTCTAATAGCAAAATATAAATCACACGGACGCCTATTACCGAGTTCCGTTTATGGTGCAACGCCTACTTCGCGCAGGATGGCAATAGAATCGTTGGAACCAACAGTGCAGTTAGCCACTGGACGCTATCAATTTAATTAACCACTAAACTATCGCAATACGCACGACTTCACGAATGAATTTGCTTACAACTACATAATATCTGCGTGATCAGGCAACGCTGTCAGAATTCCCAAATCGTGTTGTTTATTTGCTATGGCGTAGATTAAGCAGCGCTGGTTGTATGGTCTGAATGGCCAAGTGGTAAGTCGGTCATATAACATCTAAATTTATATTGTGCAAGCATACAACACGGGTGTTAGCAAACGTGGAACAATCTCATGGAATAGGACTAACCTATAATGGGCCTGTGTAACGCCACCAAGAGATTACTCCATAGAGGTCACTTTTTTTCGAAGTGCAATGTGCGGCATGCAAAAGGACGAAAAGCGGTGATTCTGGACTCTTAGCATATGGTCTAGGGAAATGGTCACGTTATGTACACATTCTATTTTGTGTGTATGAAAAACGATGACTTCATTCGTCACCGTTTTCTAAATACAAGTTTGTTTTTTAGAAAGGAATCTAAATTTGTCCTAAATAGCTTCATAATGTAAATATTGATAAGATGGGGACTTTAAGGGAATTTAAAAGCTAGGCAGATTTCGTTTGAGTCGGAAAATATCTGACGAGTGGCATTAAATGCCAGTGACAACGGCATTTTGTGTACAAACAAAATTGTCGAACTTTCCAGAAAAAGTACAAACACCATTCAGTGCAATTTGCTGCTGGAGCTTTAGCAGTAAGGAACCGACAGACGTGTTTATCGGGAGCATCGTTTTCGAGAACTTAGAAGACGGGGCCATAAAGACAGCGACGTTGCCAAGGTGACGGTAAAGACGCAAATGAGCGTGACGAGGCTGTGTCTCGGTGTGAACAACACTGGTGGGATTAGTGATGAGGTCAACGAACTTTCATCAATCCTCCCCCGTCCGCGGATGACGGAGGTTTTGGCGATTGTGCCCCAGTCTATTTTATGCAGCTGTCCTCCGGGATTTCAGTGATATCAACTCCTTGTCGTGTCTGTTCTTTTGTAGGGTCAACCTGGAGTGCTCTGTTGATTTGCCTCCCAGTGAATGATGTTAGTGATTCGTTATCCGAAATCGATCGACCCGACGCGTTAATTGGCTGTTCAGAATGATGTCCTCACTAATGGGCGTGGTCCAATATCGATGGAAAAACGACAAGCCATTTCCTGTTGCGTGTACGGCGCATGGAGCTATGTTAAGCTCGGGCAGCATTCGTTTGGGTGTAGATGGAGATGGCCAGTTGCTGACAACGTGACAGCTTTGCAACATGCTAATGAGGAGTCACGCCATTGGTTGCTTTCGTGGCATGTACATTTCAGTGATGTACAGCTAGTGCGGTTGTCGACAGAGAACCAATGTGTCATCAACGTGGCAATGCGAATGCTTCTGTTTTTTCAAGTTGATGCGTTAGGGTCTTTAGGGAGAAGTTACCATGGCCTAGAAATTCGGTTACCAAGTCTGAACGGTGACTTTGACATTTCTTCGAGATGAACTTTCCGTGGGGAACGTTCTCGAGGGAGTATCTTTCCTATTCCGGTGACCCTTCAAACAACAGAAATGCAATTCGCCATCATTTCGTTAAGAGCCAGAGGACGGACGGTCCTGATGTCTCTCAAAGCATGTATTAAAGAACAGCCGCCGACACTCCGAGAAACGAGAAAACTGAAATCGCCGGAAGAATCTATTTTGTGTGTGTGCACAATTATATTGACCCCGTGCGCGTATATTAAACGGAGAAAGTACCTCACTTCGATGAGTAAAAGAAATCTACTGGCAATTCTTTTCACAAACCCCTTCAGCTCACGGCGGTTATTGTAAAACAAGTAGATTTCCACTTTTTTATATATAGGCTTTTTTCAAAGGCAAACTGTCTCTGAAAACATCAAACTGATAAAATGATTCATTTGTAGCGACGCTAATTTACTTTCCATGTTGCTTGTGGATTGATGGGCAGACCAACAAACGGACGTATACGATTTACTAACTGTTTTTCCTCCTTTCCACTCACACACAAAAAAAACCCAAGCGAGGGTGGAGAAGTAAGCTTCTTCATTCATTTTAGGATAGTTTTCGTCTAAAGAAAAAGCCACTGAGGCTGGTCAGGGGTGATGCTGGCTCACGAAAGAATAGTAACGTTTGACGATTCACTTGATATTTCATACAACAAAAGCACTATCGTAACACGTTCTTTATAGATCCTGATACCGTTTTTTGCTTGATATTTTTCACATGTCACCTCTTCTATAATCAGCTTAGGATTCTGCTGCTGATGCCGTCTCGCAATACGGGCGATTCACAAAAGTGCGCCTCCGAGTTTGGCCAGTCACGACGCGCGAAATCTGTCGACCCAATGCGCGTTTGGAAAGGGTGGACAGATTTCGCGCACTGTGATTGGCCAACGCGTTGCAAACTCTTGGAGGTGCACTATTGTGAATCACCCGTGTTATTGCGGCCTTAGTCTGTATCTTCTCCCTTTGAACATACACGAGCACCAACCTACCGTGGCGATGTAACCGATAGAAATGATAGTGCCAATGTGCATATAAGGAGAATTTACTCAAACTGTGACATAGAAATAATCTGGTTGTTACGAGCAAGATAAATAGCGCCAGCACCTGATCTATTTCATAGTTGAGTTTCGTGTTGGATTATTACTCTATTTTGCTGGGGTACTTTGGTCCGAACAAAAAATCTTGGCTGTCCTCAATTTCAAGGAGAAGGAAATTATTTTTAATGTTCCACAGTAGCTGAATAATAAAGGCAATTAGGTAAACAAAAGTGCCAATACGTCCATTAATCTAATGCACTTTTCGTGTGAAAAGTCAAATAGCGTGGCCAACTGGTAACAGGTCTTTACTTCCGGAATTCTACAAGTCAACAAAATTTCAGAAAAGGTTCGCAAAGTGTACTCTTGCCAGGCATTATAGTCTTCAAAACGCGCTAAGAAATACTCAACTGTGTAATTGCATATGTTACAGTGGCCGTGAATCTAAGAGGAGGGGGCTGACTTAAAAAGAAATTTTGCCTGGCTGTGGACAGGGGGCTTTTGGAACTCCATGACACTAGGGGGCGATAATTATGATACAAATGCACTGAGAGCTGCTCGCCGACAAACGCATGCTAGTAAATGACTTTATACATGTAGCGAGAAAGATGCACAGGAAAACGAATCGAAAATAACGGACAATGGGGAAAGAAACAAAACTAAAGTTGCAAAATAAAGTTGTTATTCGTATTCGGGATTTCGTTTTCTGTATACCTCTAGAAAAAATAGTTTCGACACCAATAATTTTTTTGTGAAGCTCATACAATACCCGTTGACTTGGTAAAACCTTGATAAAAACTTTGCATGCCAAAGTCAACATTTCCTCATCAGCAGCACATGAAGGCTTGCGCTCGTGATGGTTAATTCATGCTGAAAACCTCACGCCCGACGCGTGTACGGCGCATGAGGAGTTGAAAATGATGCTCCTTTTATTTGCTCCCCTTCACGGTATAAAATTCCCACATTCACTGCCATTAAACCAAGTATTCCCTTGCAAACTCAAATTCAAATTCAACTCAAATTTTGTGCGTCAAATTCAATTATTGCCAGACAACTTCTGCATGGAAGAGCCGTTGAATGTTGCCGCCGGAAAAGGTCGGCGTTGATCCTTTTACGCTGACGTCCCATGAGACCACCTGTCCAGAGATTGGATTGGGATTGATCTGCGTCCTTTTATGTCAAGTTCGAGGGAGTGATCCGTTTTCAATCCCCTTTCAGAAAAGCGAAGGGGGGCTCGTCATGTTTCCCCCGCCCTGCGGTAATGAATAGGGGGTCCTAGGACTAATCTCTCCCTATAGTAATGCGTCTGTTTCTGCTTCAAACGAATGTCATTATGCCAGCAAACAACATGGAACGACATTGAACGTATAGATATTCATCAACTGTAAATTGTAGACGTGTCGTCACCGTCATATGACGTCAACCTCAGTGTTCATTCACGTAAAAGGTTGTATATTACAGCAAGGTGAGCTAATTTTGCTCTTTCCAGCGAGCGGAGGCATCTCTGCAAATGGTATTGGGAAACAAATCTGTGTGCCTATTGATAAATGCATGGTACCTGTTTACGTCCAGAAACCCGACGTTTCGTTTGGCTTACCTTACGAGGTGGTGAAAATGCTTATTGCCGACTCTCAAATAATTAAGGGAAAATAGCAAAGATGATCCCGCAACTGCACTGCATCCCAACGTAAACAAGCCCGGGGGGCATCCTACATTTCATAACATTAGATGAAGAACTCTTGTCATGTGAATCCAGGTGCCTTTCTTAAGACATGGAATATTTCGGAGACCCAAGATGGAGTAAAAATGGATTCTCTTTTGCACCTCCAAAAGAAGTGATCGATAGTGTACTCCAACATTGACGCTTTGCTAGACCCAGCTGGAGCGGGGGGCAGGAGGGCCGCCCCCCGGCGGGCAGCTGGCCCTCCATGGCAAAACCACAAGCATAAAATTAGCGATTTTTCTGGTGATATGACCCCTCGCTTTATGCTGAGCCAACGACCAAATTTCGACAGTGAGCCATTTCTAAAGAGAAAAAAAGAAACCCTCCCGCCCAAAAAATATATACATTGAACATAGTACATTAGCCGCAGTCCAAATATATTTCTGGTGCCTGATGGGTTATCTGCATCTATCGTATTCATCCCGTTCTGGACACTCGAGAAACCCCAATACATAACGAAGCATAATAAAAACTGAACCCTTTGCATTTAACTACTCGAGTTTATCTCGGAAACGACAGTGGAATGTAGGCTATCTTGAATGGAAGATTGAAGGCCTGCATGCGCACGCTACCAGATCGGTTCAGAGATTGTAATTGGACCTCGGGATGTGAACGTTTTGGTGATTTCCCATGGAATGTCTGGTGGGTGTCCTTAAACCGAAGCAAAGAATGACCCCCATTGCCATGTAATTCATTTCTTATTGCACTTGAAGTCGTGCTTTATGCATGGGATGACCATAACACATGGTCACAGGAAACTTACTGAAAGTAAAAGGTTGAATGTTACCGAACAGCTTGCAAAAACTGAATAGTTGAGGGGTATGTCTTTGGAACCCTTCCAGCCGATACCAAGAAATGTGGTGACTACATTATAAGTTTCTATCCATGCACGAAGTATTAAACAATGGAATAATTTGAATAGGCCTACTTCAGAGATATTTAGTCACGTACATGAGCAACCTGAAACACTCTGCAGCAGATTCCCCGATGGCCTCCCGCACTGCTACATTTCATCGATCCTCATCTTAGTTTAGTTCCATAATGTCGATTTGACCTCATTTTCCTACGATAGACAGGGTAAGAAAGCTTTAAGGGGAGAAATGAAGTTATGAAATTTAATAACAGAATTTTATTGCGTTTCCAATTATAATGGCGATTTTTATTTCACGTCGAGTTGTTATCTGGGCGGAAGTGACCATTTCAGAAATTGACAAAGGGCACCAGTTTGTTTCTAGAGGACAGTTATATTCTAGGCATGACACGGTATGTACTCCAAGTCCAAAACATTTTAACTGAAATAACACCTGTCGGTTTTTAAGCTGCAGAGCTTTTACTATATCAGACGCTGAAAGACGACCTGTTCTACAGTCGCAGTGAATCAATTTTCATCATACATATAGTAACCTTGTCATCAGGAATTAATCGACGACACTGTATATATAGTAAAATGCGCGTATTCAGAAATCGACTTCAGCCAGTCTCGACCACATACTTCCACTCCCAAGTGATTGATCATGTTTACAGACAGGAAGTCTAGCAGGCTTGTTTGCTGAGAGCGTTTCTGTGACATCGGCAAAGAATATGACCTAGCGGTATGTTTGCATACTGGCATGACACACTTAGCTCCCAAAGCGACAGTGTTTTTGTGGTGTTAAGCAACTTATGTTCTGAAAAGAACGTCCAGTCTTTTGAACCGTAAAAAACGATCCACCCTGGTTCGGCAGTGATAGCACTTTGAACCGGCTATATTATACAGATAATTATGGACTGGCGATGACTGCATGGCCTTTTAAGTTGGAAAATCATGAGTAGGATCCCCTTCCACATACTCACAGGCCCGAAGTTGCTCAGATGTATATGATGTGACTGAATTATGCCAGTCCATTACGTGGTTTACAACACAGCCCTGTCCTGAAATTTCATACTACAAAAAATTCACAGTTTTTTACAAGTGAGGGCATTGTGACCGGTCAAAAATTGCTGTGAGTTTAGTGTCCGATGTCGGGAACAATACTTCGGAAATTATGCCCACGTGATTGTTTTGACAAGCGGCGCGGCTAGTTGACGATGACGCGATTTGTGCGTGACCAGAAGAGTCATTCCAGAGGCCGAAGGCCAAGGAAAATAGAACCTACTTCTGACCACTCACGGTCCCCTGGGGCGGAAAGACAGACGTACACTACTGGCCGCATTTCAGTCGTTACCCCCAGTTCATAATGTATTAGCCTACTGAGATTTAGAACCAGCAAGAGGTGTATCCACCGATTGCACCAACTGATAGAAGCAACTGCTGAAATACAGTACCTTAGTCACGGCCATGGAGGTAGGGTCGAGCCCACGAATTGGGTTTTGGAAAAATGAAATGAAGTACCAATAGTCGTTCGGATGACTGATAAGAAGATACAGACTGATCGGGCTAATTAGCTTAGGGCGTTCTTGAATATTGAGAAATTTTTTTTTATTTGTTATCTTTCCAAGCGAGTTAAAAAGCCCCACTGTAGTCCTAAACCCTCAGAAAGGATGCAGGGGCGTAGGTATACGCTACTTGGGTGTGTGTGAGGAATACGGAACTTCTACTCCCAATCAAAGTTGTCAGACTTGTAGACTCGTTCATTATGCAAGAGGTATGAACGATGTAAAAACAATTAACGGTATGGCAGTTTGATTGGCTGCTACCTGTTTTGATAGATAAGCTGATTCGCCTGTGTGTATAAACGGCTGACAGATTAGTCAAGTCGGGATTTCTGAACTCACAGTACATGTTATAAATTGACACAAGAGGGCGTAAATCAAATAACGGTGCGCGGCCTCCATATCCAAAGCATAAACGCAAACAACGTCACAGAAGATCCCGACTTGAATCAAGTCTAAGCTTCGGTCGGCGAATAAATCCAATTGGTACATAAACAATATGCGTTGGCCGTCGGCATTTCCCCCTGAAAGCATAAAATGAAGCGTTCCACGAATTCCATTTTCCGCACTTTATAAATTTTAGATGACTTGATGTTTGGCAAACAATTTATCAGTGGTCAAATTGACTCTGGCACCCCCCCCCCGAAAAAATGCCTTGGCTACTCCCCTGAAGGATGCATGAAATTCCCAACCTTTTGGCCCTGGGCTCCTGCATAATATTGCGGGATAGCAATCCAGGGTCGGTACATGCTCCAAACAAGGACAGTCATCCTAGAAACGTCAACGTAAACACCGTTGTAATAAAAACAGTCCTTGGCGGCCGCCAACTTCATTTTACCCACCAAGGATTTTTTTCCTGTAACGAGCTTTCGGTTAGGTGCTTGTGAAGCGTGATTGCAGTCACCAGGTATTCACAAGTCGATCTCTTGTGCTTCAATTAAAGTCCACGTCCTCAACTGGTACGGCTGTTTTAAACGTTCTTCTACACTCCTGTAGCATCCTCCAAAGCTACCTCGGGATCACATAAATAACCTGTTTGAAACAACAGTGGTCGATTTTGTCTTCCTTGCCAACATGTGGTTTCTGGATACCCGTGTCATTCTGCTGATGTGTTCTCTACTACTGGTTATTCGCTGGCTTGTTAGTCGGCGGAACAAGCTTCCACCAGGCCCCTGGGGCTTCCCATTTGTCGGCTCCATTCCGTCTCTTCTCTGGGGGCTTCGAGGCGGCCTGGGGCCACACCAAATTTTCCGGAAATACGCTGCTACGTATGGGCCTGTGTTTCACCTCCGAATTCTCAACAAGACACTGGTTGTTCTGAACGATTTTGCCGCCATAAAAGAGGCATTTCAAAATCCTCATTTGAATGACAGGCCAAAAACACTGGGGACCGAGGTGTTGAAAATTAATGGTAAGGATACATTTCCATTATATTGTTTAATTAATAGAATGTCCTTTCCAAATGGCCGTCGCCCTAATTAGCTTGGTAAAAATAATCAGATATCATGACATAATCGTGTACATACTAAGCCAAAGAACCTTAAAGAGCCCGTATCTAGATCGTAACCGTATCTTTTAAGGAGCGACCATTGTGAACAGTTAATGGGTGTTCAAGTGTTGAGAAAACCACTCCTGCTGAACAGCTTTAAAGAAAAAAAAAATTACAGAGTATTCGTTTTAGAATACCCTAATTATTTCAAATTAAATGCCTAAAATGTTTACATAAAGTGACTCCAATTTTCACAGTTCGTCGTTAATTTTCGATTCCTTGTTTTCAAATCATCCGACTGTGCTTTTAAAGGTATTGCCTGGACATCGGGTAGACCTTGGATCAAGCTTCGTCGGTTCTGTTCGACCGTACTAAGGAGCTTCGGAACCGGCACTTCCAGTTTCGAGGATAAGATACGTAGAGAAGCTGAGCAGCTTATCCGAGAGTATGGCGCATTCGAAGGAGTACCCTTTGACCCTAAGCCCAAGTTGGGCAATGCGGTCGCCAACGTTATTTGCTCCGTCATTTTCGGCAAACGATACGAGTACAGCGATCGGGAGTTTACGCGGCTGCAGGGATTGCTCGGCCGGAACGTTGAGCTGCTTGGAGCCGGAGGAGCCGTCAATTTCTTTCCCGGTCTGCGTCATCTTCCCTTCTTAGCAGTGGACGAGGTCCTGTCCAACTCGGAGGAAATTCTGAACTTCTTGGAGAACATAATCAACTCCAATGACACTGCACACGGTGACGGCTCCAGCAAGTTCACCGATGCGTATCTTGGAACAAATCCAGCAAGACTTTCGCTGGCCGATGATTGCCCGCAGCTCCGGGGACGCAACATCGTCGGCACCATTTCGAATCTGTTTGCGGCTGGTTCTGAGACTACGTCCACCACGCTGCAGTGGGCTCTTCTCTACATGGTTGTTTACCCCAAGATCCAGCAGCGAGTTCAGGCTGAGATCGATACAGTGGTCGGTCGCAACCGCCTACCCTGCATGGCAGACAAGTCGGGACTTAGTTTCAAACAAGCAGTTATCTGGGAGGTCCAACGCGTATCTAACATCTTACCCTTAGGAGTGCCACACGCTGCTGCTTTGGATACCCATTTTCGCGGCTTCCTGATCCCAAAGGGGGCATTCATTATCAGCAACTTATGGGCAGCTTTTCATGATCCTAATATTTGGCCAGAACCGCAGGAGTTCAACCCACAGAGATTTTTGGACGATAATGGCAAGCCAAAAAGGCCAGAGGAGTTTATACCATTCGGCATTGGTGAGGGCAACATTTTTGTATGCATGCGGTGACAAAATCTCAAGTTTAAAGGATTTAATTTCAGTATGTGAACTTTACCTGATACACATTGTGGTTGTGAAAATATACATGTGTGTACGTCACTTTTGTCAACTAGTGGCTCAGCAATGTTACTTTGATTGAGGGTAAATAATGTGAAAAAGAGCACTCCGCATCTATGCCGAAAGGGTTCAGTGGTCGCTGTTCAAAGCAGACATCAGGTGGACCATGAGGCCGCTGTCTCCATGACGGCGATCATAGTGACAGTCGTGCGACTTAATATGTGTTTCCCCGGCCAATTTCGGAAAATGCCTGATCTAAATTGTAAAATAAAAATTGAATTTGGTGTAGATTTTAAAAACGACTTTAAACCTGGTTTCATTATCGAAGTAACAAGCATTCGACTTTGTTTTCCATCCTTCAGATAAATGAATGTGCATTTCGTTTCATTAAAGAGGTTACATATATACATGATTTGGATTTCGGATTGACGTATTCGTTGTCAATTACAACAAATATGCATTCTTATTCGCTCTAAAAATCTGTGTTTTACCGTGACCCTTTGGATTTTTTTTTTCATTTACTGTAATTTACAATTGCAAAATGTACGTTCAATTTGATTAGAATATACCATTTTACACAAATCATGACACCACTTTGGTAACAAATGTCATGTCACTTTTCAGGGATTTTTTATAATGTGTTTGTCATCGAACTAAAAAAAAATTAAGGTTTTGATAGTGAAACGCAGCACCAGGAGGAAGGTTCCCTCAGCCGATGTTTATAGGTTTCCTACAATAATCGGTATATTTCCAATGACAGCATGGTTTATTTCAATCATGAATATTCGAACATTTAACCAATTAACTAAACACTTCTTAGAATGTAACTTCTGTTAGCACACAACAGCATTCTATTTCTTGACAAGGCTTACGTTAAATAACACTTCGCGCGAAATTGCCTGCACATTTTCCGAAATAGAATTCAAATTAACATGAATGCAGGATTGCAGAGGTTTATTCGATTTGCGCAAAAATGAATGTCAACATACTAAACCAGCGCAGTATGGAGAAAGTGAACGCTGACTTTATCCAACTGAATGCATCCTCATTGAAATAGAATTTGTAGGCCTATTCGTTAAATAGAAACGGAGATTTGAATGGTTGTTCTAAATCGCTCGAAAACGAATGCTGCTATTACTAATTCATTTACACATTTCCGGAAATTGGCTGGGAAAACCTATATTAAAAAGCACTCGTAAATAAAGGGACCTTTTGATACTCAATATTACATCTCTCCTGCGAATTTACGTCACTGGCACTTGGTATAATCAATAATGGCGGATCCAGCACTTACAAAAAGGAGGTGCTCGGCCAGTTGGGTTGATCTCCAATGTACGCGTGCATGGGGCATATTTTAGTGATAAATCACCGTCAAGGTTGTTAAAAATTCTAGAAAATTCCCATTCCGCTATATATCGGTCAGTACACTTCATGACATGTTTCCATTTATTGAAACATTACTTGTTTCATTAATTTTATCGTATATGACGGTAGTTTCTTTCTGCTTTACTAAATTGTCTAGGGCGTCGCGTCTGCATCGGCGATCACCTGGCGAAAATGGAGTTGTTCCTCTTTTTCGGCTATTTCATGCACCAGTTCACCTTCAAGAAAGAAGACAACACACCCCCACTGGCGATGAACGGCAGGGCTGGAATAACTTACTCGCCAGTGCCGTTCAAAGTGTGCGCTATCCCGCGCGACTGAAGAAGTTGACAGCTTCAGGAGACGAGTGTTGTTTATTGCTAGGCTTTGTGGACATCGGCCGCCCAGTTTCGACCATTGTGTTCACTTGGAGAGGTCCATTAAGTCCCCCCAAGATTATTCTCAGAGATTGAATGCTCGATTGACACGATTGTTTTTACGGAGATAGAGTGACTTATTAACATGCATTTAGATAATTAAGCGACATTATGTTTAGTGTTTTGATTATGCACATAATAATCAGTTAACTGCACATAATTTTATACACCTTTTCAATATTAGCAAAACTCTCAAGAAGAAAGTACCCTGGTGATTTGGATGGATTATTACGTGAATAAGATATTTATATTGTTTATTTTGATATTATACGATTTGGTTACATTTTCACATTTTTATTCATAACGTTACATTGATCTATATCGTACATGGAAAATTAACCTCTGTTGTCACGAATCCTGAAAATACTGTGTCCAATTTTCGCAAATTTGGTACCAGAAGTTGCGTAGTACCTCCAAGAGAAAAGTCGCGGAGGTAAAGTTTGATTTTAACAACAGTTTAGAAATAGCTGCAAAATCTCCAAGACAGCAGACGACGACGACAAAATCTCCACGACAGCAGACGACGACGACCAGCGCGAGTGGCGAAGCGACGGCGCGCCAGCGCTTCGTCGTGTTTTTCTTTACACTTACTTCCCGGGGTTCAGAAGAGATACGAAAAGTTTTAGTGCATATAAAAAACCCATGAAAATTGCTCACGACGGTATTTATGTTATATCGCATGTGCTCACGAAAAGAATTAACAGAGTGTTCTAAAGGGCAAGTTATAACGCCTTAACTAATCTTGACATCCCATGCCATATAAAATCGAACTTGTGTCAGGCTGCACAATTTTAATAAGGCCCAGGGCACTGCTGACCCTTGACTCCTCAACATATACTGCATAATGCATGAATGACATTACCTGAAAAAGGTGGTAGCAATTCTGAACTAAAAAGCTTCTGACCAGTGTGAATGCTAAAGCTACAGGCGGCCATCTTGGAGCAAAAAATCTAAAACCTTCCTCTCCCCTTCAAACCTTAATAAAAACAAAACAGAGTGTTTTCATTTTGCCTAAATGATGAGTTTACAGATTGTTCCAGTAGTTTCTGGATGTATATATCCGATTTTCCTGTGCATGGAATGTAATGCTGTTTATAATTTTTAACTGAGCATTTTTACCCAAATAGCACCATTCACATGAGGATCTCTTTTGTAAGCAATGTTTTGATCGAGAAAAACTGAAATTGAAACGATAAGTTAAATTGCCAACAGTTCAAACTTACCATCTTCGTTTCTTGTTGAATGTATAATTCCTGTGCCAATTTGTCTGCAAAAAATTAAGAAAATCAGAACATTGAGAAATCAGTTGAAAGTCATGGGTGTAAGTCTAGTTGGGAGGGCTTTGCATCTGTGCTGTGTTTTGATTGGATGATGAGACGAGAAATCATCCCATCTGTACCGAACCCATCATGACAGCTGAAGTATACACATCAAATATGGAGCAAAAAATAATCTGAAAACTGTTCCTTGCATGCAGACCTTTAACTTCGAACGATCTCCTGTGTCACTCCTACATATATTGTTTTCTTTCAGATGAACTTGAGACTGCCAAGCTGGTTACTTGACAAGGGAATTTGCAGAATCCTAAGATACGGTATATTATCATAATAGACTGACAGGTTCTTCTGTCCTTTGGTTTATTCATAAAAGCAAGTCGAAATCGTCGAAATAAACTGTAAGCTTACTAGACTACAAATGAATTTTAATCCCGACAGAGCTGGGCTTTTTTGGAACACCATGGCCATTTTTCAAAACTCATTATGCATAGACAAATCCGACGAGACGTCATTCAGAGGAGCCATCTACACTCACGCGGCTGTCTCAACCTGAGCTACAGCGCGCACTGAATTCGGCAATTGATGGCATGTACTGCCTATTGGTCAAGGACGACTCGCGCGCGAATCGCCTGCGACGGTGCGAACAGGATTGCCCAGTAGTAATGACCTCTAATTTTGGTAGTCGGATTTGGCTATAGACTCTCATTTTAAATGCAGCATAATGTGAAGTTTTCATTCAATATAATCCGACTGTCAATTTTTGTATAGTTCCTTCGAGGTTCAATTATTGCCACTAGTATGTCGGCCCGAACGTACCGTGAGCACGTAGGACGGCTCTTGCCTCTTAGAAATAGACGTTACGGTATTTCCGATTTTCAAGAAATTGGTGTCAAAATTATTGCAAGACATCAGTGGGGAACTGCGAATAAGTTACTACGAATTTCGCACCCCTGTACATGTTCAGCGTGTCATTCATACTTTTTGCCTCAGGCTGTTATGGCTATTTATACGCACTTTTGTGGCCCTATCGTGATTTTGGGCAGATTGATTACTAACGTACAGTTACCCGGGGAAATACTCTTCTCAGAATTTTACCTTGGTAATCCAATGAAAATGTTTATAAAAATGTATACTGCAAAAACATGTTGGTCCCGCATTTGGTTTTTTTACCGGCCAACTCGGCTGGCAACAAAATAGATATAATATATATAGATAGATATAACAAAATAATATTTTGTAAATTCTAATCCTTGTGTACCACTGAACACCGAATTAAGCTGATCCTGATTTGTTTGTGTAGGAAAAGCCAATGATATTAATTCTGTAACAAAATGTAGTTTAAGACAAATTAAGTATGATATGAAAGGCCTGTGTGCTTCCCCAATCGCACACAAAGTAGTGACCAATCCTATCGCACAAAATAATCGTCAGCAAGTTGCGATGCGAAGTCCACGTGTAAAAATTGTACCGCACGAAGCAAGTGCTTAGCTTTCTCGTCTTTAGTGATAATTGTAAGGGAGTTATTTCGTTGCTATCACATTTGATAGTTTTTGTTATTGAATATACTTTATAAAATAAATTATGTATGAAAGTTTAGTATTTTACGTTTTTCTCTTTCTTTTTGTGTAATGTAGAAATGTTTTGCCGAATAAAAAAATATATAATACTGATTCGAGACGACTTTGGATTACCCTCCACCGAGTTAAAGGGTTCGCATATAGTTAGGTGACATTTTTTCATTTTCACAATGTTTTGCTCGTCCCAACCGTGGCGTCTAGGTATCGTGCTGAGGCCGTCGACGTGGCTCGTGCTGGCTCCGATCCGCGCGGGCGATAACCTCAGCTCCAAAATATAACGTGGATATTTCAATTCATGGGAACAACCTACGTGTTACGTTTCTTGGTCAGAAACATGAAGGTTATTGTTGTTGCCTCGTTGGCCCTAGTGGCTATTGTGTACCTTCTCCTACCTCAGGCTGCAGTTGCAGAGCAGAAGAAGGGTCCGAAAGTGACTGATATCGTAAGTCACCGATGTTTTCTGGCGCTTTCCATGGCAGCTTTCCGGTCTTTTCTATGTCTATCCGTCGGTGACCGTTAGTCGTTAGGCCCCTTATTTCGCCTCTACCATTGCATGACATATGGCGAAATTGGGAACCTGGCAACTTTATGTACACGATCAAGGACATAAGTCACCCAGTGTATAGGCCTAGGCCTCCATCATGGCCTAGTCATTATAGGCCCACATGTTAATTATTGTTATAGCCTCTATATCAAGCCTAGATCAGGGTCATGGCTACTTCGACATGTTCCAGAACTGTCGGCACAATTGCAGAATACCCCGCCACTTACATTGCCCACCTCGTAGCTGCGGATACGGAGTCACACTTCCATCCACAAGGCCTACTTCGTATCCCCATATCCGTGTAGCCGCTCCCCGGGACCCACATTGGACTTGTGAAATTCTTTCACCATCTCCATTCATTTTGCGTTGCAGGACGCACAAGGCCCACTTCGTATCCGCGTAGCCACTCCCCGGTCAAAAGAGCCAAAATGTTTTTATGGAAGTTTGTACATGGGCTAACTGTGACTTGTGAGGTTTGTATTAACCTTACAGTTCTGGAAGAACCGGTACTGCGGTAGGTCATGGCTGTGGCAGCTTTACACTCACTTGGCCCCATTTCCATTTCATCCCTGACCGCTTCGCCCCTAACCACACCACAGTATCACCCCATTGTCACTTTGCCCTATCCCCACCTAGCCCCATTCCAACTTTGCCCAGTCGGCATGCATTTCGCCCCCAAACAGAAACTTTAAACCATGTTAAATTTTAACGCTGGGAAAAGCAGCAACATTGACAATTTGTTTTGCCCAGCCAAACTAAAGGTTTCAATTCAGGCAATTTGCCAAGGAAAATGTTAGTACAACAAACATGATCATTCCGATGGCCTGCGTCAAGTCTTGTTGGCCAGTACGGGGTCACATGGCCAGGCAACAAATTAATTTTATTCTGTCCATGCAGGGAAGTCAGCAATGTGTCTGCTGTGTGTATAATTTCTCCTTAGTCAATTAGTTCACACTATGAACTGTTCAGAAACGTGAATATAATGTCAAAAGGAGAGTAGAAAGAAAAGACGTGCATTTTTGGTTTCTGTCGTTAAAAGTCAATCCGCTTGGAAACAGATTCACAATCATGACAATAATAATTAAAGGTTCAAAAACTAAAATGTAAATGAAATGATCAAAACAGAACTCGGAGAAGACATATGGGGAACAGGCGAAGTGGTGATGTGGTTTGGGGCAAAGTGACCAACACCAGGCTGTAATACATGTAGGCCTACCTCCACTGCCAAACCATGGCATGGGCTAACAGGTGTCCGTCATGCCTCTCTGTAGGTTTAGGTCATACAAGGCAGTTGCTGTTGCTGTAGGAAGAGCCCTTCAGTATGGTGCTAGGCCCACAACAGCTGAAAAAGTTCTAAGCGAAATTTCCCTATTTATTCATATTTAGTGATGTAGCCAGTTACATGTAGGATGGTAAGTACATATCACACTTTCTGCCTTTGTATTGAAACAATGGTTTCATATATTTGCAGGTGTATTTTGATATCTCAATTGGTGGAGAAGATTTGGGACGTATTGAGATTGGACTCTTCGGCAAGACAGTGCCCAAAACTGTCAAGAACTTCAAAATCCTAGCAAACATCCATAGAGAAAAACCAGAGGTAAGTGCAGTTTCAATTCTTGAAGTGAAAAAAAAAATCTTTTTTTAAGTTAACGCGGCAAATACAAGCTTCCTTCTGACGTGCATGTATGTGCCTGTCCGTCGCCTACATTGTTCACGTTCTTGCTCACAAAACTCAATCCAAATTACGTTCGTACATCTGCTAACATTGTATGCATCTACATGATTTATACACGGTATGCTAACAAACACGTATGCATGGACATGCATTCCTCAACAGGATGTCACTTTGAATAAAGGCTACAAGGGCAGTAAATTTCACCGTGTTATTGATGACTTTATGATTCAAGGTGGAGACTTTACCAATGGAGATGGTACAGGGGGTAAGTGTAAAGCCTTTGACAAATCGACAGTATAACTGCATTCCAGCAGGTTGTACGAAAGGGAAATTACACCTGCTCCCCGCATGCAGTTTAGTGTGGCTTTTATCATAGAGCTACATGTACTTGGAATTCTATACGGCTGTTGTATTGTGGCTATTTGCACATCTGCATATTGCATTCTAAAACCATGCATCACAAAACTGATACACCAAAATCCAAAGCACCCAATCAGTTAACGGGCACTTCATCTTGTTCAGTGTAAACAGTGCAAATGCTAGTGTGCATTGGCTGCCGATGAATTTGTCGAATTTGCTACTTGTAGAAAATGCACTTTTGCACTTGTGTGTTATTCAGTGACGGGTACTTGGATGTTGTGCTTGCACATTGCATTTAGAGTACATGTACATTGTTTGGGATTGGTGTGTATACCGTCTTATTTTGTGACAGATAGGAATTTAGAATGTCAATGCTTTGGATAGCGTCAAACTTTCTCCACATGTCAAAGTGATGAGTTAGTGCTTTTGTAATTGAATACGGCACTGTGGGGGGTTGAACAAGCTTGTTTACTGTGCTTCCTGTTTTGAATTGGACCAGGCAAAAGCATCTATGGGGAGCGCTTCCCAGATGAGAACTTCAAGCTGAGCCACTATGGCGCAGGCTGGCTGAGCATGGCCAATGCAGGCAAGGACACCAACGGCTCCCAGTTCTTCATCACTCTCGTCAAAACAACTTGGCTGGATGGCAAGCACGTAGTATTTGGCAAAGTGTTAAATGGCATGGTAAGTCGTGGCCTTCTTGGTGCACATCGAGCTGATACCTGGCATTTTTAAGATTAATTTGTAACTGTGGGAGTTCACTCATTTGGGTGTACATGTACATACAAGGGCAATCGGTGTCCTGCCCTCGCGTCACCCACTCAGCATTTTCAGGGAACAATGTGGCACAGTAGATTCCCATCATAACATTCTATCATGGATCAAACTTATTTGAGCTCAATATTTGTACTGTGATCTAATCAGTGCAACCGCCTTTTACATTGTGCAGTGTGCGTCTTGTCCTCTTAGGTGACACCAACTTCTTTTCCTTGCATTTATTCAGGACTTCGTAAGAAAAATTGGAAAGACGGAGGTAATGAACAGCAAACCCAAAAAAGATGTCATCATCAAGGAATGTGGTATTCTAGAATTGCCTAATGGCAAACCTTTCGCTGTCCCAAAGGACGGAGTCGAGTAGAGGAAGATCCTACTCTAGGATTGGTGGCTGCAAAAGAAAAAAAATTCTTCTCTGGGAATTCTGCACACTTAGTTTCCTTTCTTTTCCCTTGTATTTTCAATTAGTGAAGTTATCCTTTTTTTGTTCACAACCATGGAAATGCCCAAATTCTAAAAAAGTATCAACTTTAAAGTCATGCTGACGGCATTGCGTGCTTTTCACCCCAAAAAAACTTGTGCTGGAAGTAGATTGTTTTGTTATTCTTTTGGGGCTTGAAATTGCTTGGTGTTATTTTATGTTGAAATATTCTGTATGTAGCTACATGTACGAATCACTTGCCATGTTCTCTTGGTCAGTATGTACAAATCTCAAATTCTAGCTGAAATTCCGAGTGTTCCAATCCTCCCAAATGATGCAATGATCTGTCCTTCCCCAATTTATTGCATATCGTTTACAAATAAACCAACAAACCCTAAATATGGGAACTGGCCATATTGCTTGATGCCTTTATCATTAACATGCAAAGGACAAGCACTCGCGTCCGTGTAGTGTGATGCCTAACCTAGGATTGTTCATCCAGCCAGTGTGATTACTTACATACGTCTTTGCTTCTCCTGTCTGTAGTAAAGTCAACTCTTGGTATAAAGAGAACTGTTAAAATGCTGTTACAAGAATGACATTTTGAAGTCTCAATTTCTTGAACTCTTTTTCTAAATGTTATCCTTTGATTGTTATAACAAGGTTCTTGTTTCAACAAGACTATATTTGGCTGGTCCAAGCAATCTTCTTATGGTGAGTTGACTCTATTGCATGTAAATGCGTCATCTGGAGGATTCTTACTGTACTAAATACCCAATGATTTCTACATGTACATGTATTTGAAATCTTGACTTGGACAGACCCAGCTTAAAATCAAGTAAAGTGCCGACAACATCCTGACGATTTCTCCGTGCTGTTAAAATCCCCCAACACCTCAATTTTCCAATTGCAACATAATTTTTCCCACACTCTGGTATTATATTTAGCATAGCCCTTCTATCTTGTGAACTTAAAAAGAATCCCTTCACAAAATCCGTTTACCTGTGTAGAATGCTGGGGGAGGGGGGGTTAATGGATGGACATGAAAGGGTAGAGCAAGATTGTAGCTATGGAGTGACTGGTTGTCTTTAAACACCCTGCAGGCCATTTTTTGGACACCCCTGTTTTGAATATGCAAATTATGCAAATCTTGTAAATCTAAGACACTTACATGCCTTATTTTTCAAATGAAGTCAAATTTGGATGCCCGTAATTTCCAAATGCCGTAATGGCTATTGATAAACGATGTAGGTGAGCTTATATAGGTAGTTGAGCTTTAGCCTAGTGCCAACAATAACAGAGACTCGCCTACGATTATTTTTCAGAAACTATTGTTTCCAATGAATTTCAGTATTATGGGAGAGACTTAATTGTCAAGATAAACTCCAGAAAATACATGTACACATGTATGAGCACTGTATGTGTTCGAGTATTGTACATGTTATTATTTCACAGCATCATATTGAACCATGTGTTTAAACAGGTGTAATCGTGTTTAAAAGCAATTTGACTTTTTTAATTAGTCTTTTAATAGTAAACAAAATAATGGAATTGGGATTATTAGACCAAAAATGTTGTAAGCCTTCCACATACACTCTGGTAGGATGCAGAGTGAGGTACTCTGAAAGATCAGTTTCTTAACTGAACAGCAGCTTTGGGTTTGTAAAAAATGTGACGACTGGTTTTCGTGGTTTTTGTCCTGCGTTTGGTTCACCATGGGAAGACGGTCTGCTTGGGTGCAAAGAAGGCATTGCCATTAGTACGCATGACCATTCCTCATGCTCCTTTATTTGTACCGTTGGCATTTGTTGTTGGTCACAATAATTTGATATACAACGGTTGTTCCACATGTTGAATGAATAAACTTGAAATCCAATCCCGAGAGGAGGATGTTTGTCGTGATATTTATTAAAATGTTTTCATTGCAATCTTCTTGCACCTTTTATACCCCGCTAGGCAATCTGAGCATGCATCCTCCTCGAGTAGGTAAGAAAGATATATCACCTTGCTAAATTACAAGGCCAGAGTTAACATAGGACAAGTTTTCTTAGAGGATCCAAAGCGCGGTTACTTCACACAGGCTGAACTCGGTTGTGCATCACAGTCCACATGTACAGATGTATATGTGCTAGAAGTACGGACATCATGGGGGGTGTCCCCCTCCCCATATTTACATTAAAGTACCTTGGAATAAGCCCCCCCCCTTCACTGTCAAGTGTTTTGTCAGTTTACTGCTGAGTGCCGCGCAACAATCTCAGTGATGAATATGATTAGTCTCAGAGTCGCCAGTGCTTACCTGTAAGTGGGCATCCATTACAGACTGTGAACAGAGAACAGTTTTTAAGGTACAAGATTGATGCAGCACCACATGTAAAAATGATTGGTGTATTGTACATGTAGGTGTAACACATGGGACGTAGATCATCACCTGACTTGTCTGTAGAAACCTGAGAGTTTACTGTTCGTAGCATCATAAATTAGCAATTCAATCATCAAATGAATGCTCTCAAATTCCCTATAGATTCAGGTTATTTTTGGAGTTGCTGTTCACTCTTCTTGTGTGAGGGCACAGCTAGTACCAGTCAATATTTTCAAGTACACAAACTAGTGCCTGACTAGGCACTAGTCTCTGCAATTCACACACACCTTAGTGTGCACGTGTCCTATTCTTGCTGATGCAAAGTCTATTTACTATCCTATTTTATCATGACCATACATGTACATGGATTTCAGGCAATCAGGACAATGAACCCTGACAATTGACCCTGTACTCAACAACTGCTGCTGAGCTGTAACTGGACGCCTGAAGTCAACAAATGTTGACAGCCTTTAAGTTCTGGCTGGTATTGCTCCACCTGACGTCCAAAGGACACTAGCCAGCAGTACAGAACGCCTCAGGCAAACTGGAGACATCCGTCATCCAAGCTATGCCCACCAACCAGCCCCCAAGCGCTTGAAGTCAAGGAAGAGCTTTCTCCACACAGTCGAACCACGAAGGAATCCCCAGAAGTGGCTAGACATAGACTGTGGGAGGAAAGCCACCATCTTGAGAAACGGCCCCTCCCTACAAAAGAAAAGCTATCTCCTGGACATGAGCTTGGCTGGAAAACACTGAAGTCCCTCAACAGACTACGCACAGAAATGGGCCGCTTCAAGGCAAATATGAAGAGAAAGGGATACACCGACGATGAAAATAATGAGAATATTACTGACTGTGGCACATCACTCCAATCTATGGAACACCTTCTGAGATGCCCTTCCAGGAACAATGCTGCCGTGGAGATCTGATGGCAGCAAACCAGAAGGCTGTAAGCTGTGCCCAGACCTGGCAAAACACATGACGGGTAGCAACAATAAAGGCTGACACATTACGGTGATTGGGCTGGGGAGAATTAGGCTCTCCACCATGAACATGTATGAGGTTTTGTAATCACAGAGTCACCTGAATGTTAAACAGCACTTATTAAATACATGCACCTTTAATTTGAAGCAAACAAAATTGCCTAAAAAGGCATTGTACACAATTGTAAAGGATACTGGAGCACATGCCATTGCTTGAAAATTCAAATGCTAACATAAGCCATTGTTAGATAATTTTCTTGGGTGTACCCTTAATGATGAAACTAAGCACAGAGGCAAAGATTAGATTAGCCAAGGATGCTAAAGAAGTTAGCAATTTTTATTGTTGAAGTTAGCAACTTTCAGAATGCTAAAATTGGCAATCGGTGAATGGTTTGTGGGGGGTTGGATCAATTACAAAGAAAGAGAAAAAACTGCACCTATTACACCATTTAACTGATTTTGTTCATGAGAAACTGCTAGCAGCTAACTTAAGTTTGCATGGAAAAGTAACACACATTTACAACATATGACAGTGCTAATGCAACTGCACAAGATGCGACGGTATTGTTCATAGTATACAATAAACATTTCAAGAAGTAGGACAAACAAGCAAAATACCTCATGACTAAAACTCATAAACTAATCTTTTTTACTATTCAGTCAATTTATCAAGTGGACAAATTGGATAAAAAATGTGACTTCACTCACAATAGTTTACAAGGAAATACATCTTTTAAACAGTGCCCCATTTGTGATCTCAATGAAATTTGTAATTTATTGCACAAATATAAAACCAAAAATCAAACAATGGGGGAAAAATGTCTCTGCAGAGACAGCAAAAATTCATCAAAACCTTTTGCACACAGAAAATAATAATATAAGTAAACACAATGAGCCAGTTCGGTTTTTCAAAAAGACAAGGTCATTCGAGAACAAAGTATACGTGTGAGTCGGCGTAGAGCTGACTGAGGGAGCAGACTATGGTGTGCACATAATGCTGTTCCTGAATGAACTCAGACATATGCTTCATTCTGGGCATGCGCTGTCAGAATACTAAACTGGCTCATTCCTGATAAACATTTAGAACTTTTTTACAAGAATGTAGCCTCTCTGCCAGCAGTAGGTATCCTAATATGAATCTCCTGTTGCCTTTTGAAAAGTACATCCACTTGGTTGGCCGCATCACGTCTCAGTCATCCTCATTTTGTGAGAGTGTTGCTCATGACCTGGTTGAGGTTGCCTCACAGTCCTGTATCTGGTAGCTCTCTTCTTGTCTGGGTGTTGGATGCTGACATTTTTGAGGGAGAGTGGAACCCGCCCCCGCCACTCCCCATCGTGGCTGTGGAGGCGTGGCCGTACGACATCCCCGAGTCCCGCTCAATGGTGTGGCCCCTGTTGAAATGGGCCTGTCGCCCCTCCCCATCGCTGATGTCGCGACGGTAGTCATCCGAGTCGATGGACACCATGTCGGCCTGATTGCGGCGGCTGCCGCTGTTGCTAGACATGGTGATGTACCCCGTGGCCGTGGAGGCCCGGCTCGGTGACTTCTGCCGTTTGGTGGTCAAGCGGTGCATGCCCACCGCCCGCCGCTTGGTGTACTCCTCCTCATAGGCTTTGTTCAGGTACTTGAGGTTGGACAGCGAGCCGTCCAGGTCTCGGTTTCTGGCATAGCGCCGGTCCCGGGTGGAGGGCACACACACACAGATGCAGAGGAGGCCGATGAAGAGAACAACCAAGAAAGCCACAGCGATACCCACCATGGATGCCAGGAAGGGGGACCAAGTGAAAGCTGCAGTTTCACCTACGGACACACCTGTGTGGGGTAATACAAAACATTTTGGGGAAAAAAATGACCTACTTCAACATAATGAAGTAAAATTAATTTCTAGACTTCCTGGAATGTATTTACTTAATGTGGTATCTTTTCTACTACATCATATGATAGACACAACATCAACTCTCATTCAGACAAGAATTGTCCAAATTCACATACTTTGATCTGAAAATAAAACTTGTATATATATCCTTCCTACAATGTCCTTCGAAAGACACAATCTTTTACAAATACAATCTGGTATAAATCCCTTGTTTGCAGGAGCCACGAGTAATGAGGAAGTGCCTTCACTGGGCTCTCATCAGGAAACTACATGGACAAAATGCTACAGGCAGTTTTCCACATCTTTGCTTCCCCTCGGATTTCAACTTCAGGCATCAATTTCTCGAATTAAGACCCTGACTCAAAACCCTTCTGCTTACTACAGCTCCGGTAACATGGCCGATAACATGGCCAGAGTTCTGCTTCCATCTGGCTCGGTGAATAAACATTTCAAACTGACTGGGGAACATAATGAAGTGAAGCCAAAGACGTGGACAACACAAACGCTCTATTAACCCCTTCGCTACTGAGGACTGCTACTATCGCACCGTTGCGTGAGGATTAGTGCCTACCACACATTCAGTCTATTCACCATGCAGCTGCTGGTTCAATGGGGCCTGCTGCTGGGCAAAGCCCTCCATTCAGGGCATACCGCAGCCCAGCAGTCGCGGTCAAAATAACCCCGCCGTGAAGGGGTTGAACTTACACTGCTGTCTGCTGATACTGCCTCTCTGATCGGTGGATCGTCCTGTAGCACACTGGATGCATGCTGTCTGTCCACTCTCAAACTGGAAGTAACCCTGCTCACAATGCAGGCACTCTAGTGAAGTGGTGTTGAAGTAGGTCCCAGCTGGACAGAGAACTACAATTCACACAAATTCAAACAGAATTCAAGATTAAAAGTTCTCCTTATATGGAAGGCGGAAAAAAATGGTACATACATTTGTGGTTCAAACAGTGCAGTTGTCTCTGCAATATCTATGTGAGATATTTTACAAAGCACGCACCTTTATGCTTAAGTGCTACAAGGTTGTGGTTATGTTAAATTTTGATGTTGGGTGCAACATGAATGTAAAATATTCTAGTTAGCAAATAAGCGTACATATACGTGTATAAATTACATGTATGTATTTATGTCGGTCCTTAACACAAGGTATACGTACATGTACATGTATGTCCAGTTTTGCCTGAAACAAGGGCATGTTGAAGTCTTTAATGCACCCCTCACATCAGCATTTGAGAAAAACTTACAAGTCTACAAAGATCAGCAATGTTAGAGTAATGCCATACTGTGAATATATTTACCACATCCACCTGTGGTGCTCTTGTAGCCCTCAGCACATATCCATACATAATCATTTGACACTCCGGAGCTGAGACTGTACACCATTTGATGGTCAATGACCAGTGATAGCCGCTCCCCGTCGGCTAGCTCCTTGATGCTCGTGGCTAGATCATCCACATCTTGCTGGACGTCACTTAGTGACGATCCCTGCGTGTCCGCGGCCGGAGCCGTGACCACAATGTCCACTGACAGGTCAGTGAAAGCCTGTCGCTTGCGTTTGCGTGCCGCACCACCGGATGCCACGACACCGCATTTTGGCTGGACGCTGTCGGGCGTGCAGGCCTGGGCCACGCCCTTCTGGCACAGGTCTGCCTCCCGCAGGCTGGACTGTATGCTGGTCTGAATGTTGGACACAAAGACAAGGTTTGTGACATCACAGACGTTGGCATCAAAGGGAAAAACAGCTGTAACCGTCTTGCTGATGGCGGTGCCCGCCGTTGGACCTGCCAATAAAAAGTAAAGTTAGCAATATTTTTGATTACCTGCTAGGGGATCATTTTCCTAGAGCTTCCAAAGATATGCTTCATCTGTCGTCAACGTATATTTACAATGTGCAAAGGCCTAAACCTAGCTCAAAGACATATGAATTCGGATGCAGTCCTAGAATCCTGCCTGAATTACAGTAAAATGACAATTAACACACAAGTTGTCTTCAAAGTACCTACATTCCACTGCAACTCTAAATCTGAAGGTATCACACGCAGAAACATTGATTCAAGAAAATTCATCAAATCAAACTGCATGTCCTCCTTCAAGACAATAATTGTGGTAACTTACGCATGCATGCGTTTGGGTTTGGCGTTGGCTGCCAGAACGCCTTGGTGCTGGTTATCTCACACTTGAATCGGTTGTCTGTGGGAGCGTACTCATATCCCGAATCACACACTATTCTGCACTCCATTTTACCATCTGGAGCGATAGCACAATCTCCCGCTCCATTGGTCATGACTGGAAACTCGGGACACACAACATCTGTGGTGGATAAAGGGGGAAAAAATGAAATTAGAAACCAAGAGTAATAGATGTTCTGCAGTGCGTTTAAAAATTGAAATTTTTTAAAACACATCACAGAGTGGCTCTGAAGGTGGTTTTGTCATTTTTGGTCAGTGATTTTGGGTGATATTATTGGCTCATTTGTTTTTACTTCTACCTCCGGGATGTCTGGAGTGGAAACTCTCTACTTCAGAATTTTTTTTCAGGCTGTATTTCTTTCATTCCATTAATGTTTGCATTTGATTAATTTGGTTTAGAGCAGCTTTAAAAAGGATACGTGGGTCTTTTCCCTTCTCCTTGCTGTAGACGACTCTTCATGGAGCAAAGTCTCTCAATGCTAAAAACCTCTGAAGAATAGGATGGATTGAAGTTGCATTGTACAATTCAGGGTGGAATATATTTACTCACCAAATTTGTAGAGGGTGACAGAGAACTGGCAACTCCCGCTATTGCCGAAAGAATCAATGGCCGTCACTGTGACAATTTGAGACAAACCATTCCTGGTGGCATCGAACACTGTGCCGTTCTTTTGGTCATAGGCCACAGTGTTTTCGTCGGGGAGAGGCAGGTTGTCTTCAACGTCAACCGGCGGCCAGAAAATGGCCTTGGTGTTGGCTGTGGTCCTTTCGATAACATTTGACGGACATCTGACGGTGGGGGGCTGTTTGTCTGAAGAGACAAAGTCAAAGCATTGAAGCAGGAGCAGCACTGCATGATGGATGCAAACTTGAATTCAAAATGAACAGAGGAATGAGGAGGACATGAACACAAAGTCTGTGAAAAAAACGTGCAAACCTGAATCATTTCAGGCAAAACATGAGAGCATGGAAATGTGTTGACTTCTTGGAATTTTGAAACACTAATCATATTTGTGTCACAAATTTTTTTTAGCATTCGCTTCTACGCCAAGGATGAACTAGCCTTCACTTTAACAAAGTTGACGGCAATTTAACATCAAAACTTTGTTTTTCAGAGTGCCGCACCCAAAAGTCATGTCATATTACTTAAATAGTTTGAGCCCCAAAATAAAGAACAACTTAAACAGATACAACAGGAAACCCTAACCAAAACCTACAGAGGCCTAATTCACACGCACTCTCTTATTAAAGTTAATGCAGATTGACCCACCCACAATCTTGATCCAGAACGTGCAGTTGGCCGTCAGTTGTGTCACTGGGTCCAATGCCGTGAAGACAAACCTTTGCCCCTGCCGGTACCCCTCGGTGTAGCGGATGTCCCCTGGGAGATCCACTGATGGCCCCTCTAGCTGACTGACAATGGCAGGCTGCTGGCTGGAGTCCTTGGCCTGCAAGTTCAGGCTGACGTAGGCCACGTCCGTGTTATTGCGCACCTGGTAGGACAGTGTCTCCCCCTCTCGGCAACCGGTGAAGACAGGGGGAGGGGCATCTGTAGAGAGACAAGCAATCAACATTTTAACACTTTGCCCACAGATTTTGCATCTTGACTGGCTAGTCCTACCGCATTCACTATGTTTGCCACCTTCCTGTGCACAGCCAAAAGAACTATACCCATAGCGACCAAAAAGTACTATTCCTGACCCAACCAAAGTACTTCACACATAACAACCAATATATATTGTGTGCAGAGGTGCGCACTAGTGTGCATATAGTCCAAAGTGCTAAAGCTACAGAGCTAGATAAAAACCATATTGTGAGGAGGTGCTTTTGAAAAGTGCTTGAGAATTTTCAACAAATTGTGTATTCACATATACACACATATATGAATATAGCTTTTAATTGTATTTAGATGGAAATAATCAATTTCTGCTTATTGAAAAAAAATCTGTGGGAGAAGTGTTATCCCCTCCGAGCGGAACAAAAGATCGCATGTTTTTTTGGTACTCACCAAATAAGCACATCATAAGGTGCGCAAGTAAATGCACGTTTCACGCGAAGAATACTGAGTACGCGTAACTAATTTACTCCGGCATGTATGGTCTTTACTCCGGCATGTATGGTCTTTACTCCGGCATGTATGGTCTTTGTGTACGCGCAGAACGCATACAAGAATCCCCTGGTAACCACTTGTCTTTCTTTTGCCAATTGGGGGTGTATTTCACCTTGGGGCGGATAAAACAGATATCAACTGCTTTTTCTTGCAGTGTAGCAAACTAGTAAAACTAGCCTTCGTTCATGATCCATGGAGCATTGTCTTTTCTCTCTGCTTTGCCTTGCAAAAAAACAGAATGCTTCATGGATAACCTGGAAAGGCAAGTTGTAGTACGATATACAACGCTGTCAACATGTGTAATAAAATAAGTTGGATAAGTTTATTCCTTTTGTGTGCAGCTACACTGTGCACCAACATCTCATTTGCTCTTGATTTTTTATTGATTTTCAGAGAGACTCCATAAATTCTGTCAAATGGCATTCTTCCCCCCTACATGACTGAGGCATTATCAAACAACAGAACTGAAAGAATCCAATTTCTTGTAAAATGTATTATTTACTTGCATCAAACCCTAGTGTAGTTGACATCTTGTTACCATTTCAGAATGAAAATACGAAGTTTGAAGAATGGCTGTACTTACTGGGTATCTTCACAACCGTGACGTCAAACTGGCACCTGGCAACATTGTCAAAGGTGTCCACCGCTGTCACCTCAATGGTGTTGGGCGATTCCTCCTCACTTGATAGGAAGAACGAACCACTGTCCATGCTGTATGATATTGTCATGTCTGAGGACTGTGCCAGATTGTCGACGGCTGTGGCAGGAGGCCACTCTACAGCTTCCGAGGACCCATAGGTGAATTTAGTGATGTCCTCGGGACAGACTACCACAGGTGGCTCTTCATCTGGTTAAGAAAGTCCCCCAAAACTTTCAGCTGATTCAATTCAATAACTACTAGTGATCATAGTTTATTGTTAACAGTCACAACTCAAGTGTACATACATGTAAATACAAAGTGCTTCTCCAAGTCTAGCAGTGCCTTCTCAAAAATGCAAGATATGCGATTTTTAATGGGTTTGTCCAGTAGGATTTATCCGTTTCATGCAGTAGGTTTTTTATTTTTAGCTTTAATATAGGTTCCATTGTGTTTTTCCTAATTTTTAGTGTCACCATGGGGATCTGGTAGTTAACTTTCTTATAGAGTAGGTATGATTAGAGGCATCTTTCCTTGGAAAGATCGAGACATCACCGATGCCAGCAGGGCTAGATCTAGATAAAATTATTCTTCCTGTTGGCGGGACAGACACATTCCCGCACTGCAGGTTGGGTACTAGTGCGGTGACATTTCCTGTTGTACTTGTACGGTACCTTCGATCATTTGTATGGAAATGGCACATTCAATAAGCCATTTGCAAGTTAAATTTGAATAAAATCTGGTGCCCAGACTTATCTGAGTGCACATAAACATAACAATTTGAATTCCCCAGACTAAATACACTGTTGCTATACCTTGTGATTCGGGGCAAGCTTTTGCATAGCGACAACCATCTCTGGAATGAACTGGTTCCTTTGTGCTGTTCTTATCCATTGCGACCAGTGTATTGTTGCAAGGCGTCTTTTATGCAACTAAGCAAAAGCTTACCCCGAATCACGAGGTATAGCAACAGTGGTTTAAGTAAGGAGGATTCAAGTTGTTATGTTCATGTGAATTTAAAGAACTAAGTGTACCAGATTTGGGTCAAAGTTAACTCGCAAAATGCTTATTATTAAGTCCAGCCACATGCAAAGGGATGAACAACGACAAAGTGTTGTGGCTCACATTTTGTTGTCTGAAAAGCTTGTATGACTTGAATGACTGTAGTAAGTGGAATAATGACCGATACTGAAATTGGGAAGGACTTCCACTGTAGTTGAGTCTTTTGAGTCTGACCCAAGTCCTACCACAAGTCCAGTCACAAGTTCTGTCTCAAGCCAAGCTGCGAGCAATGAGATGAACAATGACTGAGGAATGATTTATCAAAGTTCCTCATGACTTGGGTAACTTGGTAACTGATGTTGGTCTGATAAAGTTATCTCCAAGAACCTTCATGGACTTGACTACAACAAAACAACACATGCACAAAAGTACATGTGCCTTAACCCTATTAAAACTTGATTGCCTCAAATAATTTAAAACTTGCTCTGGATTGTATTCCTTTATACCCACACTTACCTCTGATCTAGGAAACCCAAATATTGCCCGTATCATAGACCCTATTATACCCTAACATTTCAAAACACAAATCACAGCTGCATTTTTCAGGTACAACCTGCACTTTTCACATCTAAAACACTGTGCTAGGATTGGGTATAAATATTCCTTTAACAATTTCAGAAGTTTTTTCTCTGGTCATCCTTTTTTGTGACCATGCAGTATTTTATTCTCAAGCCAGAGACACTATGGAAGGAAAGAAACAGTCAACAGCGACGTGAAAATTCTGTCTCTGCAACCAACCTATCATCCTGAGGACGAAAGTACACTCGGCTGTGGCCTCGGTTGCACTCTGGGCTCTCATCACAACCACCTTCCCGACCCTGTATTCCTCGGTGTAAGGCACAGTGCCCGGGATGCTGGGCCCAGTAACAACCTCTACGGTGGGAGCTGCCGGTACCCCAGGCACGGTCGCCTCAAGAGACAGCATGATGTTTGCCGAGCTCTGACCCGGGTCTAGAGGAAAGGTGAGAATCTGGTTCTCCGGACAGTTCTGGAAGATGGGAATTACAGCTGAAACAAAGACAAACCACTGACACATTAAACAATAGAAAAGTAAGGAATTTTTTCATCAGACATTACAGACAAGTTAACAATAGATGATATCTGAAAACTGTACTGCTGTGCTTTTGTAAACACAGTACGTCATTTCAATCTAAATTGCAACAAGCAATATGACTGGTCATATTTTCAACCTTCAGATGGTGCCAAAATTTCTACAGAGTGTAGAGAAAACACGAATAAATAAGACATGACAACCTAAAGGGCAGACTGACTCCTGTAACAATTGTAAATGCCATTTCATATCTACACTTGTATGGTGATGCAGCATGCTCCAGACTATATATACAGTCCCACCAAGTTCTGCTAGTCTCCCACTGTATTTAAAAAGTAGCCACAAAGCTTTCATGTCTGGCCAGCAAGCTTGAAAATGTAAAATTTGGGGCGCAAAATTTACATTCTGGAATATTCCATCTTAATTATCTTTACCAAAAAAAATTGTCTCTGAAAAAAAAAATCAATTTCTAGGATGCCAAGAAATGCACTTTACCTGAACTAAAAAATGGGGGAGGAGCACAAGTACGCTCCGACTGCTCCGTCCAGTGCCTGCCACATTTGAATGTGGAATTTGGAGAACACAGGCACTGTATCTCAACATTTTATTAATGTTGATCCCACAACATGTTGATGAAATATGGTGTTTGAGAGTTGTGATGGAGTACTTACCTTCCCCGCACAGGGTGCCCTGGTATCCTGACAGGCAGAAGCAGTCAAAGGTCAACCCATCTGGCTTGGGCTGGCATATTCCACCATTCCGGCAGGGACTTGACTCGCATGGAGCTGAGTTTGGTAAACACAAGACATAAGAGACCATACATTAATAAATTTGACAACCTTGGCTGTCCCAGCTAATGACAAGGTAAGAGCATTAGCTGTGCGATTTCTCTGGTGTTGGCGCTAACAAACAAAGGGAGAGAGACTCTTTAAACTTTGCTGCAATAAAAATCTCAGAATGGGCACTCTTAGAAAGAAAGTGAGCTTTAATGGTCCCAGGCTAATATGAGGGGCTCTGGGCAATGCAGCATATCAGAAGCTCTAAAGCAGCTTTTCTTGAAAGTTTTACATTCAGAATCTTGATAAACATAAACCTAGTCAATTTCTTTTCCTCTTGAGTAATGAATATTAATCATGCATTATTCATTTTTGGGTGTCAGGTGCTTCAGACCGTTTTAGCGAGAGTGCTTTGGCTTATATTTCAGTATCTTAAGCTGACTTTTTTCATCTTCAATATCGGCAAGCTGCAGCCTCCCTCTGGCATCCCCCCCAACCTTCCCAGCAGGCTTAAATGTCAATTTTCTCCCAGATCAATAACACCATTGTAGGTAGTTCTGGTACATACCCTCCCTTTGTTGGTCGCAGTTTTCTCCCATGAAGCCAACATCACATTGGCAGGAGTAGGTTAGTGTCTCATCATTCTGACTGCAGATCCCATTGACACAGGGATTTGGGTTGCACAAAGCTTTAAGAAATAAGTAGGAGGGTGTACACGAAAGTTAAAGTCACCAAATCTTGGAAACTATATCTCCGGTGAAGTGCAGAAGTGAGCATGCAGATACTTGTATTTATGCAGTTGCATTTTGAACCTCAGCCAAAAAACCCTGTTTATCAATCGAGTGTATTTATTATGAATAAGAAAGCAGTAACGTACTTAAACTGGAGAAGATATATATCAGTGCAAGACCATAGATTCAACTATGTTGTACAAACAGAAGCTGGACTAAGCCTGCTTAGTTGAGGGTGTTCTCTGTCACAATGTGCTTTTTGACACTTGACAGTCTTTGAAGTGGAAGAATATGGGTGTTTATTACCAGTACAATCTTTTAAAAATTCTGAGGCCCTGATAATTTGTAGGATATGGAGATAATGGGATTCCCATAGTTACTACAGTGTGAGCCTTTAACATCCAAGAAAATAGCATGAGTAGACTCAAACATTCATAGGGACACTGGTCTTTAGTTTGATCCTGTTCAAGTAAGACATACTCTACTTCGACCTTCAGTTGCAGTGTGGCACATTTTGCCTTGATCCTATTTCAGTGTTGCACATTTTGCCTTGGTCCCAGTGTGGCACATTTTGCCTTGCTCCTATTTCAGTGTGGCACATTTTGCCTTGCTCCTATTTCAGTGTGGCACATTTTGCCTTGCTCCTATTTCAGTGTGGCACATTTTGCCTTGCTCCTATTTCAGTGTGGCACATTTTGCCTTGCTCCTATTTCAGTGTGGCACATTTTACCTTGATCCTATTTCAGTGTTGCACATTTTGCCTTGGTCCCAGTGTG